AATAAAGCAAACCAGAGGGACTAATTAAAAAAAAAAAAAAAAAAAAAAACAAACCAACAACAAAAAAAGCTGCAGAGTTTGAGTTTCTTGTAGCCAAACAGGAATTTAGGCATGCATTTGTGGCTGAATGGCCAAAGTGGGGATGCCCAGCCTGCTACCAACAGGGGAAGCAGCACCACATCACCTGCTCTTTGCTCTCAACAAAGCTGCTAGATTTATTATTTTTGTATTTCTCCAAGCTTTTTTGGGTATGTCTTTCCATTCAATTTTACAGCTGTTGCAATCAGAGCAGACATCTGGAAGAGAAAGGGCCTCACTGGGCTGTTTCATGGCAGCAAATGGTGACACTGGCAGCACTATTTTTGTAACAGAAACATGGTCCCACATATTTTATATTGTCTTGAAATAACAGTTTCCCAAGGTTGGAGTCCAAATATAGAGGAACTTCAGTGAAGGACCATGTTGGGGTTAGAGAGAAAATGAGTCTCCCAGCAGAAAGCTCTTTAAAGGTCAGGGAAAACTGTAACTGGAAACCTTCTCAAGAGAATTGAAAACCCTCAGTGCAGATGACAGTTGAAGGAATATTTAGTCCACCAGGTACCTGCACCCCTGTTTAAGAGTCTGAACAGCTTTAAAGGCTGTTATAACCAACATTACACAGGAGGAGCAGGCAGCTTGGTTTACACACGTGAACTGCAGTTTGAGCTTCACAGGCTTAAGCTACACCAGATTTTTTTACTAAAGGGGAGGAAGGGACAGGAGAAGGAAAGGAGTCTTCTAGCAAAGGAGAACATTTTCAGAGTGTAGACTCGGGAGATGGCGTTTCTGGAAGTGCAAAACTGCACTCCCAGCAGGACATCTCCTTGCTTGTAAGCCATCCCTTGGCTGGCAGAGGCAGGACAGGGGATTTAGGCAAGGAGCCTCACAGCTCTGTGCCAAATCCTGCTGCCCATCCCTGCCCTCCCTGCCTGGCAGCTGCTGCTCAGGTGGGCTCTGAAGTGAGGCAGGCAGGACTCTGGGCTGCAGGGAAGCCCCTGCTCCTGCAGGCACTGCAGTCCTGGGAAGTGCCTCTCTCTCCTTGCCCTCCCTGCAGAGCAGGGACCTGCAGCTGCAGTGCTGGCTGGGGTCACCACCCCAGCCTGACCAGCAGAGACACACCAGCAGCACCAGGAGTGATTCAGACCTGGATAAATGCAGGTGCACGTGGGGGACTGCAGCCTGGAGGATGGAGCAGGTCACAGGCAGGTTCCAGAGACTGCACAGCAAAGCAAAAACCTGCAGTTCTGTGCCACTGCCTCAGTAGAGACAAAGAGCAGCTTGACCCCAAGTGCTTTCTGCCACTGTCTAACAGGATTTAAAAGACTTACCAGAAGCATTTCAGATTCCACAGGTGAACCCAGATCTTGTGTGCAGGATCACTTGTGCTCTCTCCAGTCCATCTCCCCTAGGCATCAAAATAAAGCTACACCCTAAATGCTCTGATTTATAGCAACACCACAGTCTCTGAGTACTCAAAATGGTAGCAAGTTGTTGTAAAAAAACAAACTACCAATAAAAAAAGTTCAGGAAAAAAAATCTCCTCCTCCTCCAAAACACCACCTACAGACAATTCCTGACTTTCCAATTCCTTCATAAGGTCAGATGTCAGTGCTCTTTATATTTAATCAAAACGAGCACATCAATTACTTCTTCATTTTAACTGACCTGCCAGAAGGTGTCTCCTCAATGAGCACCTAACTAGGGGAAGGAGCCTGTGGAAGCCATGTATTAGATCCACCTGGGACAAACTGAAATAAACATCCTCCCCCTCTCATTGTAGCCTTCCCTTCTCTTCAAAAATCTTTTACTGCTTTCTATTATTTTTTTGCTGAGTAATTTTAAAGTCTAGCTGTGGATCTTTTTTTTGTTTGTTTGTTTTTCTTCTCCAAGTGAGAAAAGCCATGGGAATACCTTTGTTTTCCCCTCCAGAGCTAGGACCCAGTAGAATGGCTGGCTGGCTGGTTAGCACCTGTATCTTCCTCTGCAGCTCAAATCTGTATTTTGAGCGTGTGCGTTCCATTCCCTAGGCCCCCATGTCATATCATCAGCACATATTTAACGAGCTGAAGCCATTCTCTGCTGCCTCGGGAAGGAGGCAGGCTCCAAGCAGAGGCAGGGGCAGTGGTGTGGCCAAAAGGCAGCTCTGCTCACCCCAAGGTTCAGCACCCATCACGGCTTCTGCTGGCTCATGAGGGTGACAGTAAAAAAGCAATGTGCATGCAGGCGTGTTTAACATCAGTGACAATCTGCAGAAGCACAATTTCCTCAGTTTTCTGTGAGATATTGCTGGCACCGGGCTTCTGAAAAATCTGCAGCAATAGGATTTTTGGTGAGAGTCTGGGTTTGTTCTCCCCTCCCACCCCCAAGTTGTATCCAAGTTTTCTACTCATCATGAGATTTATTGATTATTAAAGGTCTCTGGGATAACTAAATATGCAGGCTTGGCAGTTGTAGTAGAGAATATTACTTTAGAAATGCTAACAAGATGTTAAATCCAAGGAATCCCACTCCTAGTACTCTGTAGGGTGACAAATCAGTGCAGGGGATATAAATATAAATTTAAAATCAGGTACATTTAAAAATCAGGTACATGACTGTAGATATTTGGTTTATGTGTCACTTATCCCTTAGTTACTGAGGGTAGAAACTCCCACCCCCTTATGCTCTTTATTTTATACTTGAGTAAAACCATATATATGTCATTCACGGGCTTCTAGTTCATGAGGACTTTGTGCTAGAATTCAATGGAAATACATCATTCTGCAAGTATCCCCAGCTTTCATGTGAAGCAAATCCTTGCTATCCCTCCCCTCCCAATGCTAACTGTCCAGCTATGAAACAGGGGGCTACCTGCCCTCCGAGTGAGATTTTATTGCTAAAATAGAGTAAAAATTGTTTTAAAACAAAGAACACACATACTTATAGTAAAACTCAAGTTTGTTTTACAATTAGAGAAAAGTCACATGGTCCCCCAAAAAACCCCATTTTATATATATATATGTATTTCGAAAATATATTTAAAAACATAAAAAACTCTAGTTAAACATATATTATGTTAATCAGTACACTTAAATATAGCTCAATTATATTTACAATATGACGCAGTTGCTTTTAAATTTTAATGCCAATTTCAGTATTTTCCCAAAAAACCATAAAATTATATAAATATACAATAAATATTTATGTTACACAAGATGAATAAGAGAGAACAAGGCCACAGACATGAACTTACAGTTGCAAGAGTCCTTTAACACAGCACTAGGCCTGCTGACATGCATGGAATACTTCTGTCACCAACAGACCACAGCAAGAGTTTAATGAAGTTTAATTAAGAGTTTAATCAAGTGATGTGAAGGAAAACCAACCCTCCTCTCTCTGTCTCTGTGTTAACTAAAACTGCCCAGCCTGTGACTAAAACATCCCATTTAACTAAAACATCCCATTTAACTAAAACAGCCCAGCCTATGGATTGTAAGGTCAGGCATGGCAGAGCTGTGGGGCTGCAGGTTAATTGCCAATATCAATAATATCAATATATCAATCACTATTGCAGGTTAATTGCCAATATCAATAATATCAATTATCGATCAGTTACTGAGCACAGAGCTGCCATGTTCAGGGGAATATCGCTCTGCTGTAGGTACCAGGCACAGTTCTCCAGGTTAATTTTCAATATCAATAATGTCAATAATATCAATTATTGATCAGTTACTGAGCACAGAGCTGCCATGTTCAGGGGAATATCGCTCTGCTGTAGGTACCAGGCACAGTTCTCCAGGTTAATTTTCAATATCAATAATGTCAATAATATCAATTATTGATCAGTTACTGAGCACAGAGCTGCCATGTTCAGGGGAATATCGCTCTGCTGTAGGTACCAGGCACAGTTCCCTGGGCTCCCAGCTCCACCCTCAGTGCCCCCAGCTATGTGGGCTGTCCTTCACCCCTCTGAACCCACCATCCCACTGCTCTCATTCTGCCACACCTGCACCACTCTCACTGTGCCAGCTGATGATTTACAAGTAAAGGACATAGCCACAGTTAACTCTGGGAAGTAAGGAGCTTTATTTCTAGCATCATTTGTGCATTAGCTCTTCTCTTTTGGAAATTTCTTTGAGATGGTAGTTATTTGATTCCTGTATGTGAATTAAGCTACTGTCAGATCCTAGCTATCTTTTCTAGTCTAGATGAGTGATTTGTTTGTTATTCACACATCAGCATCATCCTTTCCTCCAAAGCAGCCAGTCCTTGTTTTGAGAGGAGCCAGCATTACAGCACTTCTGTGCTGCAGGTGAGAACAGCTCCTGAGCCCTGCTGGGTTTCCTGAATGCAAATTACTGCACACACAGAGGTGTGGCCCCAGGGGAATGAAATGGTCAGGTGGAAGGTGTACCAGCCCATGATAAAAGTGATCATTAAGGTCCCTTCCTTGATTCTATGATTTAATTTGCATGAAGAGTATCTGAGATGAAATTTTGAGAATTTCAGTAAGGTTTTGGGTAGGTTTTGTTTTTGGTTTTTTTTTTTGTGGTGTGGGAAATGCCCATCAGCAATCGATGAGGAAGGCTGCAGTTTGAAGCTCAGGTGGGTCACACAACCCTCTCTTTTCACTCACAGTCTGGTGTGCACATGGCCACTGGCACTTTGACAGCCAGTTACCCTCAGGAAGGGCTGCCCTTCTACTCCCTGATGTGAAAGGGTCTGTTAGCTCCCAGCGATGACACAGAATCAGTGTTAAATACGCTCTTCAAAGAGCATTACTGGGGCAAACATATTTCTGTAAGCTTTGCCCAGTCAAAGTTTATTTAAACACAGATTCTACAGCATTCAGAAGCAGATTATGTTTTGCAGTATTCTCCTACTTGTTCAGCTATTTTTTTTTGTCTCCAGGAACTACAGATATAGCCTGAGCCTCCAGTGAGCTTACCAACAAATTTTGCAGTATTCTCCTACTTGTTCAGCTGTTTTTTTTTTTGTCTCCAGGAACTACAGATATAGCCTGAGCCTCCAGTGAGCTTACCAACAAGGTATTTCAGCTCTCAGCCCACTGTGGCCAGTGTGCTGTGCACAGCTCTCAGCCTCACAGCTGCCTTTCAGCAGCCCTTCTGTCAGGAGAGGGGGAGCACAGCATGAGCACATCCCTCAGACCTAAGCAGGCTCAGCCAACTCCTCCAGCACTCACTCCTCATTTCCTTCCAGAGTGGGTTTTTAGTGCCAGTATTTGTTTCACAAGGCAAGTCGGCTGGCAGAGGTGGAGCCACAATGCCAATTGCTCCTGCTGGAAGCAGCTCCTCTCTGTCCCATTCCCAAGCTGGTTTCCAGGTCTCCTGAGGCACAGATGCCTCAGAGTTTGCCCACCAGCTCTGCAGGCCTGGGGCTGCTGGCATGCTGTGGAGGAGAAGGGCATCCATGCACATGGCCAAGCTCTTGCTCTCTACCACAATGCACAGGACCACATTCTGTAATGACTGCAGCTGGGACAGCCTCAGCCAACCCAAATCTCTGTTACTTGTTCCCAAACTGGCTGAGCTATGAAGTCCCACAACCAGCCTGATTTCAGACCCGCCATCCTCTTTTCTAGACCCTTTTTCTAGTGACACTCTCACCGTGCTTCACCAAGACATTTGATCCAAGCACAGTCTTTTATTATATGAAAATAATTGCTCTGAACACTATAGAATATTCTCTATATGACAAGCTCCAGTTCTATGGTAAGTGAAATACTTGAAGATCACAACCAATGTCCCTCCAGAGGGAGAAAAGGGGGGGGAAAATTCTCAAACGCAAGCAAACATGGTATAAGCAAATGCATGTCTCAAAAGACTGAAAATTGAAAAAGAAAGACAAAAAAAAAAGCCCAACAACAACAAACCACCCCCCCAACAACCAAAAAAGCATGTTGCCATACAGTTAAATAGGCGTTGTCTTAAAGCCTGAAGTTCAACAATGTGAAGTGGAACATCACCATTCTTTTTCAGTTGCCTCTTTTTATTATTTTTTGTCAGTAGTCGGACTGCTATTGCAAACACCTTCACAACATACAAAAACCAAATTTTTTTCTAATCCAGAATAAGGTAACGATTTTTTTGTTTTTCAATCTGATGGGAGTTCAAAAGTAAAAGAGAAACAGTAAAACTATGACAACAGCACCTTGACATTGTTTTAATTTCAACGCTATCAGAAGTTAGAAGCAGTAAACATATATACTAACAGACTAAAGATACTTACTGTCTAAAATGTAAACAGAATGTTTTGGTTCAATTTATTTTTCTGAAAGAGGACAGTTTATCATTAATTCACAATTGAAGCAGCATGCAATTTTATTATTTTTTTTAAAAATTTTTTTCTATTTTCAATTCTTGGCAACGGCGACAAACCACAATGTTATGGAGGAATGTAATGCAGACTTTTTTGTTAGCTTGATTTTCTTTTTTTTTTTTTTTGTTTTTTTTTTTGTTTGTTTGTTTAAACTTGTGCGCAAATGACTATTGTTCCCCTTCAGGTCATGGATATGTTCAATAAATAGATTGTGTAACCACTGTACTGTATAAACTTCAGTCATACATGCAGTCCATAAAATTATTTTTTACCGAATAATTTACCCTGTTATGTATATATACAAATAGATAATTTTGTCTCAATATAATCTATACAACACGAATGCACTATCTTCCCCTTTTAATGGTCAATGTACATACACAGGAAGTGTCTATCCTTATGAAGCGCCAGCCAACTCTCTTTTTGTTATCCATGGTGAGAGCTCTCACGTAAGACTGCGTAGTTCGGCACTGCGAGTTCCAGTGCCTCTTGTCTATGCCCCTGCAGCCCTCCTTTGTGTACCCCTTGGGGTTGCATTTGGTCTCGTAGAAGTATTGCTTCAGCTGGCCTTTGGGCACGGGGACTTTCTCCAGCACGGTGACGGTGGCCCCGGACATGTCCACCGCAGTCTTTTTCTCGGCGGCCGTCACCCACTCGCTGGTGCTGTCGCACACGCTCAGCTCGCCGCGGCGCGCCGGGTCCGAGTGCCGCCGCACCCGCATGGACATGTTGGCGGCGTCCAGGTAGTTTTTGTACTCCTCCAGCAGGAACAGCAGCGGGGGTTCCAAAGGCACTTGGCTGCTCAGCATGACTCGGGATGTGTACAAGTCTGCATCCTTGTTTCCCTCGCTGGGCTGGATGTCCTGCTCCTCGTCTAGAAGCTCCTCTATGACGTGTTCAAAAGTGTCTGCCAACGACGTCAGGCCCCTGGAACCAGCACTGGGCCCATTGATGCTCTCCAGAGTTCCGTGGGTCCGGAGCCCCGGGTAAGCCAAGCTGCCTTGTCCTCTTAGACTGGCTTCTTTCATTGGGGCAGCTTTCATGCAAGTGAAGTATGAGATAACCATAGTAAAGAAAAGGATGGTCATCACTCTTCTCACTTGGTGGAACTGCAAAAACCAAGAGAAACAAATTAACTTACAAGGTCTGGAGTAATGAAAATTCACCAAGTTGTCACAAGACTGTGCATTTCCTACAGAGGTGTTCTGCGTGCGGTTGCAACTCATCACCAGTGATAAAGCATACTCTTGTTAAAGAGTGTTCTTTAATTTAGGGTTTCAGAAAAAGCAGAGGCTGCAGCACAGGCAACATTGATCCCAGCAACTCGGTTCTTACACACTAAAATCCCTCTGTAGCAAGTATTAGATTAGATACCAGGCAGACTCCTTCTTTATTGACCAATTACACCTATTCCAAGAAACAGCAAAAGCAGAACTGCTATTTAGCAATACAACATTTCAGCAATAAAAGGCAGCTTCACGGCTGTCAAAGGCAAGATTTCCATTTCAAGCACAAATGTAAATACTTGATTTTGAGGATCTCTCTGGTGAACACAAAATAGTTCACCATTCTGCCCACAAAAAACCACAAACAAACAAACAACAAACAACTGAGCAGCACCAGGATAAACTGCATTTGTGTTTTGAAAGCAATCTTCCAAACACAGGAAGAAGCCATACAATTTTGAGGTCTCTGTAGGTCAATTTCTCATCTAAACCTAGGAGGTAAATACACACAAATGCAGAAGAAGAAAATGGCCTGGAGCAGTAAAGTCGAGCAGGACAGATGCTTGCATCATGTGAACAGCACGGAAAGGGCGTGCTGGAACACAGAGCTGGCAAGAGCCACACTGAAGTGACAGCAGCAGAACCACTGCTCTGTGCTTCTCCAGGGCCCCACACCACCTGTTCTCAGGTGGGCAAAGCATTTCCCTACACCTAGTTAGAGCCCAGAGGCCATCATGAACCCCAGCATCACCAGCCCTACTGCCATGCTGAAACACAGCAGTTTGCCTGTGTTTGCTCTCACATTCTGCCCCAAAATCTGGCACACGTTTATGGGTATGCTCATCTCTGCTCTCACTGAGAGGGGAGGGTAGCACCAGAGAGGAGTGCTGGTAAGGCAATTCCTCACCAGGCTGGAATCAGCACAGCTCTCTCCTGTCAGGACTCCCAGCCGTGGGGAACATGAACTCCTTCCCAAGTGCTTTGCTAAGGCTGCTCAGGTAGAAACTGTTTCCTCAAGAGCAGAGTAGATGCTTTAAGTCCTGTTACAAGAACGGCCCCCAAATCCTGCAGTGACAGAGAGCCACGCCTTCTGTCTGACCCCCAGCACTACTACAACATCTATCACACCCAGCTGTTATTTTTTTTCCTTCAGATCCCTCTTCTCACCAGTTCTGTTTGCTAGAAAGCAATGGCATCGTTCACATTTTTGAAAAAGCAGCTAATGCATGTTTCAGAGCTTTTGAAGTTCATTTGGAAGTACCTCATACTTGGCAACACCCATTGGAGTAAATGCTATTTCTGTTTGCCAACAGGGTGCTAGGTAAAAAGACTTACTTTATCTCCAGCAAATGTACTGTGGGAAATGAGTACTCTTACGACTTAACATGGAAAGGCAATTTATCATAAAACATACCAATAAAATGAAATGTGCACTACAAAGGCAATGCCCAAAATGTACTTAATGAAGGCAGGGTGGGAAGTGTTCAGGTTTATGCCCATGCTCCCCTCATCTCCAGGCCCTCACTAAACAAGATTTTGGCCAAGAATCCTTTCTAACCCAGCACAGCTCTTCCTCCATCCCCCTTCCTGTTTAATAGTGTTGTTGTGGCATAGATTTATTAAGATTAAACAAACCTGACATCTGTGACTCACAGGAACATAGTGTTTGCTCTAACCATGCAGAACATTAATATTTTGCAGGTTTTTTTCCTGTTGGGATTTTTAAAACATTCTGCAGGGAGTGTCAGATTTCTTCCTCAAAGGGGAGGAAAAGAGGCATTACAGAGGTGATTTACAAAAGAAGGAAAAAGATTGCTAGTCTTCCTTTACCAAATGAGACATGAGACACCTCTTCTTGTCTTGACATGGGTGGCTCACTAACATACAAATGCAGAGCCAGTGGGACAGAAAAATAATATTTATACACTCTCTCTTCAGAGAATTGTTTAATATAAAACCTAAAATGAAAAGAACCCCAAACACTCACTCTGTGGCCACCAGAGCAATGAACAGAAAGCAGATCTTCTGGCTCCTGACCAAGTTGCTGTTATTTTTATGGAAGCAGTGCCCAGAGGTCCTGGCCAGCTCCTGACTCTGTGGGACAGAGTCTCTCTGAGCACGTAGGGCACAAGAGAGAGGGCACAAGGGGCACCACAGAGCAGGGAGGAGTTTGTCCCCAGCAGGCAAGCACAGCAGCTGGAGCTGATCAGGGCTTTTCAAGTTAGACAGGTGAACAAAGGAGAGATCCTTCACTCCACATCCTTCACTGCTGTCACTGGGCTGTTCACCTGGCACAGGGCGAGAACAAAACAGCCTGTGCAGCTTCACTCACAGCAAGCTGCAAGAAATTGTGTACAACGAGACTCTGGAAACCAACAATTTTTAGACAGGCATTACCCACACAACATACCGATGATACACTGCTTAAAAGCCAATCCCCTTCCTCCCAATTAAAACTGTGGAAGAGCATGTCAAAGTAAGGTTTAGCAGCACAGATAAAGGAGTATTGCCAGCAAGAAACCACAGATCAAACATCCACTGCTCTGCAAGTGAGCCCCAGACTAAACTGAACTCCAGAAGCAGGATGTAAAAACATTCTTCTCTCTATCTTGGCAGCGACTTGAGCACTATACAGAGTCCTTATCTTTGGCAGCAACATTATATCAAGTGATTTAATACAAGGGTGTAGTATTTTATCACCTGGGAAATATCTTTATTTTAGAGACCATAGCAATTTGTATTAGCAGTTTCTAAAAATCAACTAGTTCAACATGCTGTAGCAGAATAAGATATCTCACTTCATGGGTAGAATCCCACAACCTTTCAGCTATTGCTGAACTGAAACACGAATGCATGTGTGTTGGTCTTACCTGGCCTAATTTTTGGATGAGGAGGAAATAAGCCAGCCACAGAAGTGATTTTTTTAAAATACCTTTTAAGTTTTGAGCCTATTTTGCCCTTAAAGTGTTTCTTTCCAATCCTTACCTCAACTCATGAGCCTCTTTGGGTTTTTTCTCCCACTCCTCTGCTCAACTGTATCAGAGGAGAATGGATGAAGAGTTTTTTCATGGGTGCCAGCATTTAGCCAGCATCAAACTACGACAGCATGGTTCATCTCTTTCTTAATGAAGCAGGACTAATATCCCAATGTAGCACCAATAAGGTCACTGGAACACTTTGGATGGCAGCTTCCAGTCCCTTTTCCTCTCTGTTCTCCAACCACCAAACCTTCTTTATATTGCATTACATAAAAAAGATTAAGGATACTGCCTGTCCTGTTACATTAAGTGTCTTGTAAACCCCAAATATTAGCATATTGTGTACATCCTTCTGATTATGAGACAGCCATTGTGCCACACTGTGTGGAAGGGGAACTGGGCTGGGAACATGGGAGAAGACTATTTTCCTACTTTCCCAGCCTGCTATTACTGAGCAAGAGATTGATCCTCTCTGTGCTGGGCATACCCACCACTGAGAGGCCCCGCATGGAGATGCCCCAGCATTCCTGTGTACATCCATGCCTGAGGCTCTGCTGGCAGACTGAGCCACTATTTCCCATGGAGGCTCACCAGTGCTGAGTTTTTCTTAACTGGAGCAACCTGGCTGATAATGCATGTTCTGAGGGCATCAGTACAGCTGAGTGCCAGACAAACAGTGTAGCCATGACTACTTGTAGTAAGATGTGCACCTAGAAACACACAATAAAAAAAATCACAGATGTTACAACATCAGCCTGTAATCCTACAATACACTCATTTTCCCTCCCTTCTCAGGTGTAGGAGGTTCAGGTCTCCACACCTTCTAAAAACAACAAGTAAAGGCTGAAACCCTTCTGCACTCCTGTTCAGCCGCACCTCTGGGCATAAAAGACTGCAGACCCCTCTAGGAGAAGAGATCTTGGTCCAGCTGTTGTCCCAGGCACTGCACACCCACTAACGTGTACAACACAGACACACAGCAGCCTCCCTGAGGGCCAGCCTTGAGCTGCTCCCTCGGGACACGAGGTGTGTCCATCAGAAACCACACCTGAGACCAGCGTGGTGAACACTCCGTTCTCATGGCCACCAGAATGTCCCCTCTGCTTTCACTCAGCACAGTGAAGCTGGGGCAATGGAAAGAGGTCACCCACTGGAGTGGATCTCAGGAAGATGTGACCTACTTCACACCCCAATAAAGTCCAACAATTACAGCTAGAACCATGGCAGGCATTTCCACTAATGGGAAGCAGCTCATTAAATGAAGGTCATGTCAATTAGCTACAGCCACTTTACATATGCAGTCAATTACCTTGCCGTACTATTTATTTCAGTATTTGTATTTAATGAAGATTCATCACTTAATTGTTTCATGTCATTATTTATAGGTATTTTAAGCAGAAATCCAGCAGCTTAGCAGGTTATATTTCCAGCAAAGGGACCTAAGGAATAGCTGTGAACGTGTACTTGCTTTCCTGCATCCCAATATGTGCCATGTGAGTTGAAATAACTTTCAGTAGTGAAGAGATTCATGCTTTAATCTCCAGAAAGTAGTGCGTGAAGGAAGATAAAATTAGCAGCAAGTGACATTCGTTTTGTGCCTTACCATTTTCTAAGCTCTTTACACAAAAGTTCAATTTACTAAACCCTACTGAATGCCACAGGCATGAGTTTCTGCTTTATGCATCATTACCACAGTGTGTGAACAGATATCAAAATAGGATGCATGTCAGCACATGATTTGCAAAGACTAAATGTACTGAGAACAAATAGTATTAACCTTTATCACATGCATAACTGGATGTCTGACACACTCTACTTATCCTCAAGGCTATTTATGCAGCAAACTATATAATTATGTTTTATTACTGCAAATAAAGCACCCACCCCCCAATACATACACATGCA